GGTCCCCCTACTAATGTACAATATAAGGTGTCCTCTAGTCTCCCTACAGATGTATAGTATAAGGTGTCCTCTGGTCCCCCTACAGATGTATAGTATAAGGTGTCCTCTAGCTGGTCCCCATATTGATATACAAGAGGTGACCTCAGGTCCTTCTGCTAATGTACAATACACGATGACCTCTGGTCCTACTACTAATATAAGGTGACCACTAGTCCCCGTACTAATGTAAAATATCGGGTGACCTCTGGTCCCCGTATTGATGTGCAATATAAAGTGTCCTCTGGTCCCCCTACTGATGTACAATATAAGGTATCCTCTGGTCCCCCTACTGATGCACAATATAAGGTGTCCTCTGGTCCCTCTACATGTACAATATAAGGTATCCTCTGGTCCCCCTACTGATGCACAATATAAGGTGTCCTCTGGTCCCTCTACTGATGTACAATATAAGGTGTTCTCTGGTCTCCCTACTGATGTAAAGTACAATATTAGGTGACCTGTAGTCCCCCTACTGATGTACAATATAGGGTGACCTCTTGTCACCCAAATGATGTACGATATAAGGTATCCCCAGGCCCCCCTTATCATGTGCAATAAAAGATTACCTTTGGACCCCTATTAATTTAAAATGTAAGGTGACCTATGATCCCTGTGATGATGTACAATATAAGGTGACCACTGGTCTCCCTATTGATGTAAAATATAAGGTGGCCTTTGGTCCCTCACTGATGTACAATGTAAGGTGATCTCTGGTACCCCTCCTTATTGATGTACAATATGAGGTTACCTCTCGTCACCCTTTATTACTTTCACGTTTCTGCTAGTATATATAATAGAAAGTTGATCTTTATAAAGTTATAAATATGATTATTTTGGAGTAAGACAAAGAAAATTGTCTATGATATGAAATTCAATTGATATATAAGGTGACCTGAGGTCTCCGTATTGATATCGATGAATTTACTTTTGTGCCTTTAATGCCTGAAGAGTTCCTAGAATATTTTATTACTACGCAAAATGACGAACTATTTGCGGGGGACCCCAGGTCCTAGTTGAGCGTACGTTTTATCCTTCTGCTCCCGGTCCAGCCATGCATTTTCTCCTTTCCTGTTACAGATTTGGTGCCGTGCCATGCCCTGGAATTGACAGGTGAAAGACCTGCCAGGGATGAACCTGGGTTGGGGTCTTTGGAGGGCCAAAGACCTTTAAGGAGGGAGGAATGTGGCGGTCAGCCGGGTTCGATCGCCGGTGGCCAGATAGCTCAGTTGGTAGAGCACGTGACCGGAGTTTCAGGGGGCCCGGGTTCGAATCCCGGTCCGCTGCATTTTCTCCTCTCCCGTTACAAATGAAACAGCGTAATCGAGACATGGTGACCTAATTCGTTTCTCTATAGAGGAAACGATGATCCTTAATTTAGCGTTTGTACCATACATTTCTCGACCTCGGAGGTTATTCTGCAACATTCACGAAAACGCGGACTTTATTTCTTAAATACATAGCGTAAAAGGCTTTTTCTATCATTGCAAGACACCACAAATCACTTCTTATTTTATATCATGCTAATAAGCATGGGTATCTAAGGCTAAATTCAATCAAATCTTACTTCTCTAAAAGCGTATGAATTTTTTTCCTTGTATAGGGTACAAATGTCAACTTTTATAAGTCCTTTTCTAGGACTTCCAAAATCCTTGAATTTTATAAAGATGAATAAAATGAAAATTGTTGCATGAAAAAATTTAATTTTCAATCTTCATTTTGATGCATTTCAAATTAAATATTAATTTTTGGAGTTATCCTTCCTGGCTGAGAATCGCATATCCTTAAGGAGGTATAACCTTGATTTCAATTGTGGAATATCAAAATGTGTCAAATTCTAATATCCGGTTACTACTTCACTTACATGTATATGTTTACATATGTTTGTTTTTTCGGGTTTAAATTTTTATGCCCCCGTAAACGAAGTTTCGGGGCATACAGTTTTTGTCGTGTCCGTCCGTCTGTCTGTCTCTCTGTCTGTTTGTTCGCAAAATCTTTAACCTTGCCCATAACTTTTGATTTAGTGGAGCTATGACTTTTATATTTCACATGATTATTCCTTGTGAAAAAACCTTTCTTTGGGTACCACCAAATTTGACCTTTTGACCTTGACCTTGGAGTTTGGCCCACTTTTACACAAATATTCCAAACTTTTACTTTGGCCATAACTTTTGAATAGTAGGTACTAGGACTTTCATATTTCACATCTGTATTCTTTCTTTAAGTATCAACAATTTTGACCTTTTGACCTTGACCTTTGAAATTTCCGTACTTATGAAAAAAACTTTAACCTTGTCCATAACTTTTGAATTGTAAGGGGTAGTGCTCTCATACATCACATATGTAATCCTCGTGAAAAGAACCTTCATTGGATACCAAGAACTTAGACCCTTTGACCTCGACCTTGGAGTTTGGCCTACTTATAAAAAACAAACATTGACCATAACTTTTGAAGGTTTAGGGCTATTGCTTTCATACTTTACAGATTTAATCCTTGTGACAAGACCTTTCATTTGATAACAGGAACTTTGACCTAGACCTTGGAGTTTGACCTACTTTTTAAAATCTTTGACCTTGACCTTAGCTTAGGATTAGGGCTAGGGCTTCCATACTTCACATATGTATTCTTTGTGGCAAGATCTTTCATTGGATACCAATTATCTTGACCTTTTGACCTTGACCTTGGAGATTTCCATACTTATTTAAAAACTTTAACCTTGTCCTACTTTTATATTTCACAATTGTATTTCCAGTGAGAAAACCCTACTTTAGGTGCCAATATATTAAATTTGCATTGAAGAAAAGTTTAATCTTCAAACACATCTTGTTTCTCTTTGAATTAGCCCCCCCCCCCCCCCCCCGTTCCTATGAAAAAAATATTTCCTTGTCCAGTCCTAAGAATAACACTAAGGATAAAAGTCGGTTTTACAAAAGGACCTACGACTAAGACCAAAAACTTTGGTAAACGTTGATTGTAAAATTTCAGTTACAAAAAAAATGATTATATTTAAAATTGTTCGCACAAAAATATCTATTTAACTACGTTCCTTTTAAAAATATTAAAAAAAGGTTTATCTCAAAGTGGAAATTATTTTCAAAATGAAATAAAAGTATGATGAATATGTCTGGATTTAATTGCAAAGCTTGAAAGCGTTGAAAAGAAATCTGATTAAAAATGGAAATTAATAAATTATTTTTTTAATAGAATGATATAAATTTGACATACCGGAATCATATACGGAATTTGTTCGAAGATTACACTCTATCGAGCATTTCGCGCCATCTTCAACAAAACAGCAAAACATTGGAACGGTTGAGAAATGTGGAATCAGGGAGGTATGGATATTAATCTTTTGTTGAATAAATATTTATTTTGTATGACTTTTAATTTAATTAGAAGAAGCCAGTTGTCTTGGTCTATTCAAGAGGAAAACCCGAAGTTCCTCGACATATTTAGTTTTAGACCTGAAATGATAAAATGAATGAGTATAAATTTAACTACTTGTCAAAGCGGTCATTCGATGACATTCGTATAAATAAATTTTAAAGATGACCCTAATATCTTTAAACAGGTTACAGTCAAGATCAAGGGCAAGGTGGATTTTCGTCCCCAGGAGGATTTGGAACACCACAAGGTACACAGGGAGACAGGAAGGTAAGAATCCTCAATGTTTACGTCACAGGGGCTTGTGTAGAGAAAATAAATCAGTTTAAAAAATTAGTACCTCGGAGAGAAAAATACACAAGGGAGGACGCCATTTTGGATACCACCTTGCTTCATCAGCTATTTTCTCGCTTAAATTGTTAAACTAGACATAAGAGCCAGTTCACATCCCTTAATTAATGTTTTTTCTTGATGACCTTACTTGCAGTTTTAATCTTTCTTTGTTTACATTTACAGTCTTGGTCAATTTATTGCGTAAACATCCAAAATCGACAACTCCTTGGCTTCTGAGAAAACGAAAGTGTGACACGTGACGTAGTGTCGCTCGGTTTGTCTCAGGATTTTACTATTACAGTAAAGGTAATAGTCGTACCCAAACTGACATATTTGAATATTTTATTGGTAAACTCAGATGCTTTCATTTTATCAATGACTGTTATTTTATTTCTTTGCTCTTCTGTGTTAAAGTATTTTGGTTTCACTTTTTTCTAAAATTTGTTGAATTTGGACTGAATCTGGGGTAGTACGAAATATTCTCTAAGTCACGTGTCATACTTTCGTTTTCTCAGAAGCCAAGGAGTTGTCGATTTTGGATGTTTACGCGATAAATTGACCAAGACTGTAAATGTAAACAAAGAAAGATTAAAACTGCAAGTAAGGTCATCAAGAAAAAACATTAATTAAGGGATATGAACTGGCTCGTATGTCTAGTTTAACAATTTAAGCGAGAAAATAGCTGATGAAGCGAGGTGGTATCCAAAATGGCGTCCTCCCTTGTGTATTTTTCTCTCCGAGGTACTAATTTTTTAAACTGATTTATTTTCTCTACACAAGCCCCTGTGTTTACATTATGATGTTTTTAAAACTGTTAACTTGGTAGGAGAAAAGATCAGTACAGTAGAGACTCGCTATTACGGTGATGGTTTTATACGATAGAACGCTTATTACGTTGTAAATTCAAAGCACAAAACCATTTCTTAACAAATCTATACAAAAAAGAACCGTTTATTACGTTGTCCAAAAACGCCAGGTCTCAGTATTACGATGTAAAAATTCTGTCAAAAATTTTTTTCACTGCGTGTTTATTCAGTGTTGATTGCTGGTAGACACTTAATGAGACGCTAAATAAACATTGGAAACACCTGTGCTTTTAGAGAGTGTTAACTTACAGGGCAGTTAGGGGATTAGTGACGCTTGATTGCACCACCTGGACTGTTCCAGTGAGCCTAGCAGATTTGGAGACGTGCCAAAGCCATTGTTAAACAATTAAAGTTAATTCATAAATCTAGCTTCTTATCTATCGCTGTAATCTTTTTAAAAATTATTTTATTCTTTATTTCATACTAAGTTTAATAAATTAATTTAATAAATAAAAGGTTATATTTAATATTATGCATGTATGCTGTACACAGGTACACATAATGTGTAATTTCGTTTGCAAATAAACTGCGTGAATTAACAGCTTGGGTATCAAACATAATAAGGACAAAATTTGAACTCCACTACAAACGTTTTAACAGCTTGGTTTGTGGCTTGGACTACCTCTCAGTTGTCAGCAGAAATACAAATCGATAATTGCTGAACTGCTAATTGACCTCTGTTCAGTAATTAAAAAAAAAAATATTTTGACAGATTGCTTGTCTATTTACTTTGACCTTTTTATTTGAATAAAAAAAATGTTGCTGTTTATTTAGAAATGACTTTTAATTGAATACAAAGAGAATAAAATAATCAGAATTTTGGTTGTTGTTTATATAGAAATGACTATGACTACGAAGACATTGAAATTTTCACGAACGCATTATCTGGACAGAAACGAAAGTGAAAGTATATGTTACAGAAAATTGCGGCAATTAAAAGAAGATTGTCGAAGTTTCTATTAAAAAAATGTGCTCTTTGCTTTTACTTTGATGGAAAATGAAGAAATAGCATCATGGAAATAATTTTTAAAGATAAGTAATCAATGAATTAGGTGTATATAGCATATTGGTTAAGAATTTGAGCATAAAAAGGAGATAGGAGAAAAATACACCCCCTAATACAATCACACGTTTTCTATACGATGTTTTACTGGATTTTATTGGGAACTTTTATTACGTTGCCCTCGGTATTACGATATTTTACCGTTACAAAGTGAACATCGTAATAACGGGGTTCTACTGTATTAGCATATTTTTCCATAGAGGCCAATTCATTTAATAACAGATGTGAAAGGAAACAGAGAAAAGTGAGATGAAAAGCTTTTGTTTTGAAACAATGCTATACAAAAACTAGGAGACTTATTGTTCAAAGAACAATAAGAGGTCTTTCCACCTTCTTTGAATTACAATTCTGTGTTATATCTGACTCCTTAAAATTAAATTCCATGAATAAGAAAACAAAATTTGTCTTAAAAAGATAAATAAAGAAAAAATGAAAATTAAAAAAAAAAATGAAGTGACCTTGACCTTTGACCTTGAAAAAATCTTCAAGGTCAAAGGTCAAGGGTCACAATGCAATTGACCCCATGCCTCTACGACTTATACTTTTCAAGTAATAAGGTTTAATAGTAAGTACAAAGATGTTAAAGGGCAATAATTCATATAAGGAGTCATCAGATCCTTTCGCACTGATACAATGAAGTTTGGCCTGAAGACCCTTAAGACATTAGTGAAGATTTGGTGTTTATAGTGTCTATGGTTTCGGAGGAGTAGCGATAACAAGGTTTTTCACACAAGGGGCAATAGCTTTTAAAAGGGTCAATCTTAGGGGACAAGAATGGAATCTTCGAAAGAGTATGAAGAGTGCATATTACAGACAGAAGATAAATATTATATGTTTAAGGATACAGGAGCTATTAAAAGAAATTTATTCCTCATATTTGGAATGACCTTGACCTTTGACCTTGAAATGAATTTAAAGGCCAAAGGTCAATGAAACTAATGCAGTTGGTTTCATGTCTCTACGACTCCTCGTTTTGAAAATTTTTTGTTTTTTATAAAATTTATAAACTTTCAGGGGCAGTTACTCATTGAAGGGGTGAAAGAAAACTTTTGCAATGAATAGATTGAAAAGTCTCCTAAATTAGTTGAAGACGCTAGTGAAGGTTCTGCATCTCTATGTTTACGGTTTCGGAGGAGTAGCGATAACAAGCTTTACGGTGAAAGGGGCAATAACTGCATAATGGGTTTAAGTTAAATCATGGGGGGTCATTTTTCGGAATAACTTTATATGTCCAGTATCATGAACTATAAAGTTTTTCGATAAGTCTTAAGGTGTCAAAACATAAGGTGAGAAATAAAATAAAAAACAGAAGCATTTCAAGAGGTCTTTCCACAGAAAGGTGGAAAGACCTAATAAAGATATCGTCACCCAGAATAAGTATTCAAATACTTAAAAATCTATTTTATTGTGGGACAAAATAGTGGTTTCATTAATGGTTTGTTGGGATTTTATTTTGTGGTTGGAAAATGTTTAGTAGTAATGCATATGAAATTTAACAGGTCATGTTAGTTTTGAATTTGTGGGTCTCTCCATACTTCTAAAACAAAGAAAATTAAAACCCATGAAAATTAGTGATTTCACAATACATGTATTGTGAATGGTGTGTGATAAATTTACATCGTAGAGAATAGCCTTGAAGTGTTAATCCTAGGAGCTAGAGCCATCTCATACATACAGCATATATGATTATGATTAAATGCATGTTGTTTGCATATTAATAAAAAGTATGATGATTTATTTCAACGTTTAAAGTGTTTATTTTCTTGTTGACATGGAATGCTTTGTATAATTACAGACCTGTTTACTCTTATGATTTCGCCGTATTTTTTACGGATTTTTAGTCCAAGATATGTCTCACGTTTTGCTATTATGAAAATACGGAAATCGGAAATACATGTGTTTGGAATTTAGCAATTTGTTTTCATTTTGATCAGTCTCAGTCCATATCCTTCTTTCACGATTTTTAATTGCTAAAAGAGAGAAAGATTTCAAACACAGAAGTGATGTCGGGTTGCCAAGGCGCTGTGGTATAAAATGACAAAGACCCTATTATTAAATTATGTTTTAGTAATCAGAAAAGCAGTTGTTCACCATAAATATATGTAAAATCGATGGAAAATGAAATCTTACTGGCAAATGCCAAATCTCATGGAAAATTAAAAAATACTGAGAGACAAGGATATGGGTAAACAGGTCTGTAATTATATATACATATTTTGGATTTTGTTGCTTTTTCAGAGTCGTAACAGGGCACAGAACATACTTCCTTGCACAACTGCTGAAATTCTCAGCGCATCACAGAATGACGACAAATTTTACTCCGGAGACATTGAATTAGCTCAGGTATATTACTTAGAAGGAGATCATATGTGCTTAAAACACAACTGAAAATTTACTGTACAAGTAAATTTAGTAACTAGAGATTTTATATCAAATGTTTAAAATGGAAAGTGGATATTTTTAGGTCACCTGAGTCACTCAGGTGACCTATTGCTATCTGTTTTTGTCCGTCGTCGTACGTCGTTCGTCGTACGTCGTTCGTCGTCAATCGGTCGTAAACTTTTGAACATTTTCAGCTTCTTCTCTGCAACCACTGAACCAATTTCAACCAAATTTGGCACAAAGCATCTATGGGTGAAGGGGAACAAAAATTGTGAATTTCATGATCCCTGCCCCCCTGGGGCCTGGGGGTGGGACAAAAACCAAAAAAATTAATGCAATCTTTAAAAATCTTCTTCTTTACTCCTGGACATCAAGCAGTCAAACTGTTTGTATGATTGTAATCAGCATTGATTCCTTTATCAAAATTGTGAAATTCATGGCCCTGGGGTCAGGGGTTCTTGTGCTAGGGCAGGGCTAAATAAGTATATAGTGAAAATGCATTATTTCTTTGAAAATCTTCTTCTCTGCTCCTGAATATGAAATAAACTAACTAAGTACATAGTTATGATGAGCAAGAGTGCCTCTACCAAAATTGTGAATTTTATGGCCCCAGGGTCAGGGGTTCTGGTTTTAGGGTGGGGCTCTATTGATAATATAGTGAAAATACATGAATTTTTTGAAAATCTTTTTCTCTGCTCCTGGGTATTAAATAAACTAACTAAGTACATAGTTATGATGAGCAAGAGTGCCTCTTCCAAAATTGTGAATTTTATGGCCCCAGGGTCAGGGGTTCTGGTATTAGGGTGGGGCTCTTTTGATTATATAGTGAAAATACATGAATTCTTTGAAAATCTTCTTCTCTGCTCCTAGGTTTCATATAAACTAACTAAGTACATAGTTATGATGAGCAAGAGTGCCTCTACCACCAAAATTGTGAATTTTATGGCCCCAGGGCCAGGGATTCTGGTGTTAGGGCGGGGCTGTATTGATTATACATGTATAGTGAAAAAACATTAATTCTTTGAATATTTTCTTCTTTGTTCCTAGGTTTTAAGCAGATGAACTACCTATATAGTTATGAGCAATCCCTAATCTTCAAGAATTGTAAATTTCAAGGCCCCCAGGGTCAGTTGTACCATAGAGGGGGGGGGGGCTGTACTTATATACTGAAAATGAATGAATTGTTTGAAATGTGCTCCTTGGTATTAATCAAATATTTTTGAAAAGCAAGGATGTCTTTCCAAAAATAGTGCAATGTGTGGATCTAGGCCTAAGAGTCAAGGGTTCATGTGTGGTAGCGGCACTACTGATTATTGCTGAATATTACTTGAAATGCATTTTTTGTTCTCCTACCCTGTCTATGGGTATAAAGTAACCAAACTAAGGAACTGCTAAGTGTATAGTTATGATGACCAAATTGTAAATGCTATAGCATCTGGCTTAAAACATGGATCAACTTCAATCACTGGAAAGTTGTTGAATAATGCTCAGGTGACCTATAAGGCCCATGGGCCTCTTGTTCTTATTAAAGAGAAGTTTTCTTGTAATCTCATTCAAGATGTAAAAGCTTTATATCTGCTTTACAGATAACCATTGTTGGTTTAATTATTGCTGTGAAAGAGTCGCCAACAAGGATAGATTATGAGGTGGATGACATGACAGGACCACCACTGGAAGTCAAACAGTTTGTTGATAATGATGTAAGTGGAAATATATTCCTAAGCCCTTTTAAGAAGGGATGTTTTACTCTGAAGTCTTCTTCACATACCATTCTATTTGGGCAATACATGTACCTTTTAAGTTTAGATGAAAGCTTCTGTTTTCTGGATTACTTCTAAGAGATAAATATTATGGGCCCCTAGGCACTGAAAGTGTAAAGGTCACCATGAAATATGCATTTGGAGGCTGTTTTTATTTTACTGAAAATGAAACTTGATGAATTTTATTTCCACGAAAAATTGTAGGAGAGTGTTCCTGATACAGAGAGAATTGCGGCCTTGAGAGAGAACACGTATGTGAGGGTTTATGGGACAGTACGATCGTTTGGAGGGAAGAGGAATGTTACTGCTTTTAAAATGGTACCAGTGATGGACATGAATGAGGTCACTTACCACATGCTAGAGGTCACTCACAGTCATCTGGCACTGTCCAAACAAATGGCTAATGTAAGATTTGTATGTAACAAAATACTAATTTTAAACTTAATCAGTATGTCCAGAGCACTGTCTCTCTTTCCTTGGTCAAACGTCCAGAAAAAGGATTGGCAATGAATAAGAACTCCTAGGACATCTGTTGGGACCAAAGCTGATTTTGTCTTAAGAATATTTTAATGTAACTTTGGATCAATTTGGTCAATAAATCAAATCTAGAGTAGATTGGTTAAGGAGTTGCAGTGCTTGAACCAAAATTGCTATCACAAGAGATATTTGTAAAAGCTTAGTATCCTCTTTAAAGTAATCCCAGTTCCACCTGATTCTCTTGAAAAATGTATTGTATGTGAAGCTAATTGTATCTCTGAAACTATGATGTGTATGTACCATTCCTCACCTCAACGGGGTCCTTTAAGGTGGAGGCTATCTCAAAGATAGGAAATTTGTCTAAATTTCACACATCTCAATTTTCTTAAAGGGAACTTAGCAGAACGTAATTTTTGCTGTAATAAGTGGCTATTGTAGAATAACTACATAGACAAATACTTTTTTAGGGTAGAGATATCATTACTTATCCAGGTTCAATCAAGGGTGTACGGGGATTTACCCCAGGTTTTATTCCATACACCCTGAGACTGAAAGGTGTATGGAATACATTCGGGGTAAATCCCCGTACACCCTTGATTGGACCTGGATAACGAATTGATTTCCTATGTTCCAAAATAAATTCTTTGTAAACATGCTGTGTCTCAACCTACGATAAGTTTTACTATGTACTACGATGCATTGTGATGTCATATCATTTGCTTTTTATCAGAAAAACTATGCATTGTGACGTCACGTTTTATTTACCCCCAGCTCAAGTCGTGTGCACAGAAATTTACACCCAACTCTGTAACCAATCAAAGCTTGTGTTACAAGCTACATAGGAAATAATAAATTTTATTATTGGTCTCTTCTAGATATTGTATATTTGTATGGTATTGTATAGGGCATGTCCTCAGGAGCTCCCATGAACAAAACAACCACAGGAGATATCTACCAGAATCAGGATAGTGGTATGGTCAGTGGATTGAACCAAGTCCAAAACCAGGTCAGTGCTACATTCTACTGATACACTTACAGTCACAAGCTGATGTAATGATAATAAAACAGGATTGAAACAAGGTTTGAGGTTTTATAATTTTGAGTCGTAATTAGATTCAGTAAAATATGCCAAGTTTTTATCTGGTTGATTTGAAAAACAGAAGAATGAATCTTAAATAGAGATGAATTTTTTTTTTTTTTTTTTTTTTTTTTTTTTTTTTTTTTTTTTTTTTTTTTTTACATGGGACTACCAGTCTAATTTTTTATGCCTCTTTAACTTTATATGACATTCCTTAGCTATTGTGAATAGAGTGTTGTAAGATACCTTAAATCATTTGCAAACATAGCTTTAGATTGTACTTTTATACTTTTGCAACAGCATAAGACTTTGTAAATGTGGATTTCCATTTTCATTGAGCACCAAATTCAGATAATCTGATTGATTTAAACAAGGGTTTTGATGATTTCTGTCTGCATGATTATGGAGATAACTTAACCTTATTATGCCCCCCTTCGTAGAAGGGAGGGCATATTGCTTTGCTGCTGTCTGTCTGTCAGTCTGTCGCTCCACTAAGTTTCCGTTTATTTTCTTCACAACCGTTGCACATATTGAAATGAAATTTGGTATACAGATATATCAGATGAATATCTAGGTCAAGTTGTGTTTTGGTTATAATCATGCCATTTTTGACAGAGTTATGCCCCTTGGATTTATTAGGTCACCTGAGTAAACTCAGGTGACCTATTGCTATCTGTTTGCGTCCGTTGTCGTGCGTCGTCCATCGTCCGTCGTGCGTTAACATTTGAACATTTTCAGCTTCTTCTCTGCAACCACTGAACCAATTTCAACCAAATTTGGCACAAAGCATCTATGGGTGAAGGGGAACAAAAATTGTGAATTTCATGATCCCTGCCCCCCTGGGGCCTGAGGGGTGGGGCCAAAACCACCAAAATTACTGCAATCTTTAAAAATCTTCTTCTTTACTCCTGGACATTAAGCAGTCAAACTGTTTGCATGATTGTAATCAGCAATGAGTCCTCTACCAAAATTATGAAATTCATGGCCCCAGGGTCAGGGGTTCTAGTGGTAGGGTGGGGCTAAATAAGTATATAATGAAAATGCATTATTTCTTTGAAAATCTTCTTCTCTGCTCCTGGGTATTAAATATACTAACTAAGCACATAGTTATGATGAGCAAAAGTGCCTCTACCAAAATTGTGAATTTTATGGCCCCAGGGTCAGGGGTTCTGGTGTTAGGGTGGGGCTCTATAGATTATTTAGTGAAAATACATGAATTCTTTGAAAATCTTTTTCTCTGCTCCTGGGTATTAAATAAACTAACTAAGTACATAGTTATGATAAGCAAGAATGCCTCTTCCAAAATTGTGAATTTTATGGCCCAGGGTCAGGGGTTCTGGTGTTAGGGCGGGGCTCTATTGATTATGCAGTGAAAAATTACATTAAATCTTTGAAATTGTCTCTGGGTATGAAGCAGATGAATTACCTATATGGTTATGATGAGCAAGGGCCCTAATCTTCCAGAATTGTGAATTTCAAGGCTTTAGGGTCAGGGATACCATAAAGGGGGGGGCTGTACTTATGTTCTGAAAATAAATGAATTGTTTGAAATCTGCTCCTTGGTATTTATCAAATATTTTTGAAAAGCAAGGATGCCTTTTCAAAAGTTGTGCAGTGTGTGGATCTAGGCCTAAGGATCAGGGGTTCATGTGTGGTAAGGGCACTGTTAATTATTGCTGAATATTACTAATAAGTTGAAATGCATTTTTTGTTCCCCTACCCTGCCTATGGGTATTAAGTAACCAAGCTAAGCAACTGCTAAGTGTATTGTTATGATTATCAATGGTGCATCTTTCAAAATTGTGAATGCCATAGCATCTGGCTTAAAACTGAATCAAAGTCCATAGCTGGAAAGTTGTTGCATAATGCTCAGGTGACCTATAAGGCCCATGGGCCTCTTGTAAAAATTCCAATTATTTGCAGTTTCCGTTCATTTTCTTTGCAGAGGTTGCACATACTGAAATGAAATTTAGTATACAGATTTATCAGATATGTATCTAGGTCAAGTTCTGTTTTGGGTACGATAGCACCATTTTTGACAGAGTTATGCCCCTTGGACTTAGAAAAATTCCAGTGTTGGGGGAGGGGGGCATAAGTGTTTTACAAACATCTCTTGTTAAAATTGTTTTTATACTTCTTATTATAGGTCCACTCCATCATTCAGAGCAATGTGACAGAGGCAGGTGCCAGTATTGAAAATGTCTGTAAGCAGTTGAGAGGGGTTCCTGAAAGATCTGTAAGGTAAATAGTGTGTAAATTTTATGGACAATTGATTTTTTGACTGCCCAATATTTTTAGGTCTGGTGAATTATTGGTATCTGTATTTATCCGTTGTCTGTAAACATTTGAAAATTTCCAACTTCTTCAAAATTAGGAATTTCAAGGCCTCAGGTTTAAAATACAAACCAAATTTAATTGTTTGAAAGTTGTTGCAGAATACTCAGGTGATGGATTAGGCCTGGGCCATTGTTTTATCTTTTCAAAGTAGTGCATTTCAAGGAAGTTGCTAAGCACTGCAATATATATGTAAGGCACAGTATTTTGTATTTAAAAAAAAATCTGAAGTTTTATCAGATAACTAATTTACTTCTCTGTTGATTCTATTACAGAGAAGCCATAGAATTTTTGAGCAGTGAAGGTCACATTTACTCCACAATAGATGAAGACCATTACAAGGCAACAGACAGCTGAGCTGTAAATTTTCATTAGTGGACCATAGAAACTGAAAAAAAAATGTTAATGATCCAGATATGGTCTCTGGATTCTTATTTATAGGCTGTGCACTATTAGCTCTGTAAATAATGTACAACCGTTTTACTGTAAAATAGAAGGTACATGTATGCTGATGTTATAGTTCATATACTAAATACCTTATAGAGATAAAAGCAAACCATCTGGAAACAAAGATCTCTGGAATGTCATGATTTGGTAGAGTTACTTTTCTTGAAGAGATACTAATGTGCTATTTTGTTTTCTGTATCAGAATAAAACTTGAAAAAGTAGATGTTTTTTTCTTATTTCAATAACGAGATAGGCGGCAAATAGAGGATGAATAGGTTGATATGAGGTGATCTTAAAATAGCTATGATCTGACAGTGTATAATGTTTTAAATACTGAACAGATTTTTTCTCACTTTTGAGGTTATGTGTAGAATGATTTATCAATTATTTTAATACTCCGTGTTTTTCAGCCCATGTTGCACTTCACCCGAGATTTTAAGATTCATGGTGGATTACCCACTTTCAACATAGTTCTAGTCTATTGATTTTGTTTAGCTGAATGTTGCATGACCAGTATCAGATCAGCTGATGCCTTTTCTCTTTTCATGATTAAAATGGATTGTAGAACCATTATGGAGGATAAGCAAGTCCCTGAAAAACATGCAGTTATATAGTAAACCTTTAACCTTTCCCTAATTAGGGCCCCGCAAGGATTTGCGGGTGCCCTATAGTAATCACTCTGTCCGTCCGTCTGTCTGTCTGTCTGTCTGTCCGTCTGTCCGTCTGTCACTCTTCCGTCCACAAATTTTCTGTTTTTTTTTCTAATAACTTTTTTTATGGTTGCCCAATCAAGATCAAATTTGGTATGGTAGTTCAGTAGGCAGAAATACATATTTTGATGCTAAGTTTGGTTCTCTATGTCTTCTGGTTTGGAGCTGGGGTGGTTGGGTAGATTCCTTAACTATGCATAAGAATGAATGGGCAACTGTTTTTATGGTTGCCCTATCAAGTACAAATTTGGTATGATGGTTCAGTAGGCAGAAATACATATTTTGATGCTAAGTTTGGTTCTCTATGTCCCCTGGTTTGGAGCTGGGGTGGTGGGGTAGATTCCTTAACTTTATATATACAAAAGCATTGGCAAAGAGAGATAACTGCTGAAGATGTTCCTATTGTAAAACTGAATGCTGCTATGAGTCCCTTGAGATTAATTAGCTTTCCTCCTGAAGAAAATCCAGAGCATTATCTTTATCTGTCAAATTGAGATGAATTACCACCTCTGTCTGCAAATGAAGTTTGTTTTGAAGTTAAGTCAATTTGGAATGCTATGAACACTCTGAAATGTGGATTTAAATATTATAATTTTTTATAATTTATATTTGTTAAATAGTTATGATTTCATTGAATTCTAATAACAAGAAATAGATTAAAGAAGATTTTTTGAACCATTTTTTGATTTACTTTTTTCACTTTATGTTAATTCAAGCATATTATTAATTTTTAGAATAGTTGTATAAAAACCCCATTCTATCATTAATACTGAAAAAGTTCTTATTGTACTTTAGAAGAAAATGATGAGAGAGGTACAATTAATCCCTTGGGATTAATTATCTAGCCAGCTGCAGAAAATTAAGTAGGCTTTTCTTTATTCTGTCACTTTAAGATTAATGAAAACCTTTGTCTGCAACTGCTGTTTGTTTGAAGTTAAGGTCAAGCCTTCATGATATTTGCATTCATTCAAGGCTGGCATTTTATATAACACAAATTCTTCATAATTGTTTAAATATACATTAAGTTGTTCTTTACTGCCTAATGTAAGTACAAGGATATTATTTTCAGGTTTTTGAATATTCAGGAATTATCTTGAAATTTTAAGAATACAGTTGCTGTTGCTGTTGCTTATTCTTCGTACATTTTTTAATCATTCCGTAAGCTGCACCCTATTAATTCTACCCCATGGCGGGGCCCTTGCTGACTGGTCAGTTTTCTAGTTGACGTTGTGACTGTTAATATAAAGGTGAGGGTAGATACCATTTCCTGAGACATCGCCGCATTTCTCAGTCATATCACACATGGAAACAGGTCTTCCATTCATTTTATGCCTCTTTTCATGATAGGGAAAGCGAAAAATCCATAGATAGAAAATTTTGTGTGTAAACAATGACTGAATTAACAATCGGTATGGAAAACGTCAGTCGGAATTCGACTAAATAACTGAATTTTCTGACAAGGAAATTGTATCTACCTTAGAACTTGTGAAATGGTGACAAAAAGCAGACTGTTGATACCCTTGTTTCATCAAATTGTTTGTTAATAGCTTGCCTTGTTTTAGAGAATTTATTCGTACAAAGAGCATGCTCTTGCGTATCAAATCAAACCCCATATGCAGGTGATAAAGATATATTGCATCTGTTACTAAGAAAAAAATGAAGTTGTTCCCCTTCTCACACTTTTCTATAAGATTTCTACAGGAATGTCCAAATTATCAGTAAGCTTAGGGAAATCTTTGTTAATACATGTAATTTAAATATGAAAAAAGCATATAAATGTAATTAATTGAACTAAGTCTTTTAAAATTTATTTACGAAGTATTTTGCCTGAGAAACCAAAGATTAATTTTTGCCGAGTATTTCTTGTTTTCTAAATTTTATTGAGTATTTTATTGATAGTCACATAACTCTCCTATCTGAGTCCGTGTAACCACGCCATGCGACATATCTTTGTATTGCTAGACGTCCTACCAATGTGCACCTGTACTCCAGTCTCAAAACTTTAAAGCATCCATTGTGCATGTTTTCTTTAATTCCGATCTTGCCCTACTTCTCTCTTAAAGAATCTTTCTCAACATGAATATTGATATTCATTCCTGGAAGAAAAGGGTATAGTGTGAATTATTATACAAGAAATATTTACACCGTTAAGTGTGCTTTATCGTGCGTTTTTTAAGTTTAATTTGTGCGAGACGAAGGTGTATTCCCCAGGTTACTATTAAATATAAATAATGGATGGAAGTACTGAGTTTTTTTTCAGTTGGAAGAATGTCGTGCGCAATTTGCCTTCTGTAAATTGCAAGAATTAAAGTACTTTCCTTCTGGGGATAAGGCAATATATTCATTTCAAAGATTAATAAAAATATATTTATAAAACCAGGAGATTATTTTCATCTTCTATTAATTATGGATGCTCGTAAATTATTTTAAAAAAAAAAATGTCATGTGAACTTCCCGGTCTTTAATGATCTTGGGGTCAATATTCTGTCGAAATCTAAAGTATTTAAGAAAAACGCTTTATCCACAATGGAAAAGGATAAAAGTGTATTTTGAACCCTTTAATGAACTTTCTGTGTCACCAGCTTTTAGACGTTGGGTAGATACCGTCAAAATTAAGGAAATGAATTTATTAACTGATTTTCACCCCTTTGGACCAGACCACATTCAATCTTATTTTTGGACACGTGCAGAGGAAAAATTAACATAATCTTTTCAATCTTTCAGCACAATTAATTCAAATATGATAGTCAAATAAGAATTTTTTTGAAGGTCAAACAAAACACAGCGTGCATTAAGAGGACTCTAAATTGAGAAAAAGTTTCTGTCCAAGATTTGACTGATATGCAGATACGGTGGCAGTGATATTAACAAATGCTTATAATATATTTCTGCTCTCTACTACACTTTTTTTTTTTACGTTTTTGATCCGCGTGTGACTAGTGTAAATTGTCATCCCAGTTTACTCTAAATTAAGAATCTGTGGCATGAATTTTGCATGAACTTCTGTATTGCACCAATATATATATTTTTTTTTTTTGTATTTAGATGTGTGTATATAGACCTTATAGTCGTATACAGACAATGTATACCCAGAATCTGCATATCGATCTTGGATGTTCCAGTGACCTTTCAATGACTTGGTCATTTTTTAAATATATTTGCTGAGTGATAATTTGAGAGTAGATTCGGGTGACTAATTTAAAAATCATTTTTGATCAGATTCACTACAATTAAGTTAAGGAGAATCAAACTTAAACATCAAAATACTTGCCATACTAACTTAAAGTTCTTCTCTTACAAAAATACCTTTTCCTGTTTCATAATATTGACCCCCTCTTCCTTTGAAACTTTCCTTAACATGTTGGTCAAAAGAAAGACTCTAACCTTCCATAGTTAAAGCATTCATCATGTTTATTTTTAATCATTTCCTGCACTATTCTCTGATGTTGACTAGGAATTCATCACGAAAAATTGCGCGGTTTGTATCAATGGGCTTCTCCTTTTTAGCTCTACTGGTCAGAGACCAGAAGAGCTTATGCGATGGTAAGGTGTCCGTCGTTCTGTCCGTCTGATTTCAATATAACTTGGCACACAAGTAGACTACTCTAAGATACATAAACTAGTGCATCGGTTTTTGATTTCGATGAACGGTGTTGCCATGGTTACTAAAAATAGAAATTTTGAGAAATTCCTTTAAAACGCTACTCCTCCTACAGTTTTGGTCTTATTATGTTCCCCAAACGAAGTTGGGGAACATATTGTTTTTACTCTGTTTCTTATTATTATTATGTTCCCCAAACGAAGTTGGGGAACATATTGTTTTTACTCTGTTTCTTATTATTATGTTCCCCAAACGAAGTTGGGGAACATATTGTTTTTACTCTGTTTCTTATTATTATTATGTTCCCCAAACGAAGTTGGGGAACATATTGTTTTTACTCTGTTTCTTATTATTATTATTATTATTATTAGGGTCTTCCGCTTCCTTCGGAAGACCCTACTGTTATTCTACTGTTTCTTATTATTATTTTATTTTTTTTTTCCCGCTCGATTTTTGACAGGCGATTTCTCAAAGACCTTTGGACTGATTTTTATGAAACTTTCAGGTTAGATACCTTGTAATTAAACCTATTTACACCTGTTTTCAATTTTTTGATGCATGCCTTTAATTGTGAGTTATTGCCCTTTAATTGATAATTTTGATGTCTCGTTTCCACTAAAAATCTCAAGAACGACGTAGGATATTTACACGAAAGTTGGAGAACTTGTAGCCAATACATTGTAGATGTGCAGAACGATAAAATTATAAGCTGATTTTCTAAAGTTTGGAAGCTATAAAACGGCAAATTTTAGTAATTTTTTTTCTTGAATTTTTGCTACTTTTTGTGTAATAACTTTTGAACCGAGAATAATTTGGTAAGAAATATATAACAAAAGTTGTGTGTAATTACGAGAGCTTTCATATTAGATTAATGAAAAGGGGCTGGCCCCTATAATTAGGGGTTAATAGC